AGGAGCTGCTAAAGTGAGCTCGAGAACAGATGGTGCCAGGCATGGGGCTCTGGGCTCAGCCTTAGTTACAAGGGGCAAGGAGAGCCCCATGAGGCAGGAGAGCCCAGATGGCGCAACGCTGGGCGGTCATGCAGAGGGATGGCGGTCGTGCAGAGGGATGCCTGACACTGGGGCCACTCAGACATTCCCCAGTGTGGCTCAGGAGCTCTCTCCCTGTCCCTCAAGGGGGATCAAGAACGATGTGAAACAGAAAATGAGTCCACTCCTCCTGCAAGGCAAAAAGTCTACTGGTTTGGGATGAGTCCTTCTCCCCTCAGCCAAAGGGGCAGGTGGCTTCAGGAGAGGAAGGACATGGGGCAGAGGTGGAGGACTGATGGTCACCCCAGAACTGAGACAGCCCAAGAGAGGCGAGCTAGCTCTGGGACTCGCAGTACCTGTGGCTGCGACCCAGAGGGCAGTGCAGGCGCCTGGCAGGTAGGAGGTTCAACAACATGACTATGTCTAATCCTCACAACAGTCCTGAGACAATCAGCTAGAGGCCCAGAGAGCTTGTGTGGCTGGTCCAAAAGCACACAGCCAGTGAGTGATGGATTGGGAATCCACCTCACTAGACGTCTCCTCTACAAAGGGAAAACCACTGAGCAATGTTATATTAACAGACTTATCACAGTATGAAGGTGCTACAATGGTTCAGTGGTTAAGGCATTTGGCTGCTAATCAGAAGGTCGGCGGTTCAAGCCCCAGCTGCTCCACGGAGGAAGATGAGGCAATCTACTTCAGTAAAGATTTATAGCCTTGGAAGCACAGGGGGGGTCACTATGAGTCGGAATCGGCTTGATGGCAGTAGGTTTTCTCATAGTATGTGGAAAAAACGAGTTTTGAAGAATTTCTTGAATCTGACCTCCAGCATGTCTTATTTTTTTTCTTTCTTTCCTTTTCAGAATATGTATAGTTATATAGAACAAAACAAAACAAAAAGCTGTAAAAACCGTAGAGGTGTTTATGTCTCAGCAGTAAGAATTTACATTTTTCACATTTTTTTGTGGTTTTCTATCCCCCTCCCCACATACAATGAGCATGTACATCTTTTAAAGGCAAGAGAAAGTTTTCTCAGAAGCAGATGTAAGGCCTAGTGGATCAAAGTGAGGCACTGACTTACACTGATACCTTAGTGACGGAGAAATCCAGGTTTTTAGCAGCTGTGTTTCAGCAAACCCACTCGGCTTCTCTGAGCCTGTTTCCCAGTCACAGGTGGATTATAGTCCTGTCCCAGTGAGCTGCGGCGGGATTAACGGAGATGCCACAAACTCGAAGCTCTGCAGCAGGACTTGCCTTAGGAGAGGAACAGCCATCAAACACCACCCTTGCTCCTCAGAGCTCTTCCTCTACCTCCAGGAAGACCTGGCAGCTACAGCTGCTTTCAGCGAGCAAAGGGCCCCTCCTAACCCCAGAGCTGCCTGCAGACTTGCCTCCCCTTCACTCTCTCCTCCTCCTCCTTCCCAGCCCATCAGCTTGGTGTTAGTGGCCACTGAGTCAGTTCTGACTCATGGTGACCCCGGTGTATGGCGTGGAACTGTTCCACAGGGCTTTCCAGGCTGTGACCTTTCAGAAGCAGATTGCCACATCTTCCTTCTGAGGTGCCCCTGGGTAGGTTTGAGCCATCAACCTTTGGGCTAGTAGTTAAGTGCTTAACAGTTTGTACCACTCAGGGGCCCCAGGCCTCTTTTTACCATCTGGAAACTAAGAGGCTCTCATCCCTTACTGCATTTCACCTCAACCGTCTGCCTCCCCCATCTCAACAATGCAGCTACCTAGTCGTTATTTTCATGTAACACACGTTTGCTGAGCACCTGCTATGTTCTAAGGATTGCTCCAGATGTCTCTTCATTTGCCCCCTCCAGAAACGTTTGTCCGCACTCAGTCTGGCTGCGCACTTCTGTCTTTCAACACCTACTGCTTGTTGCCTGACTTCTACATGCACATACCACATTGTGGAAACCTGTTCTCACCTGTGTATGCACGTGTGTACGGAAGAGGAGGAAAAGAATGAAGAAATCAGTACCCAGAGGTTTCAGCTTTGCGAACAGAAAGTGTGTCCAGTCTGCTGACCTGCTTTTAAAGGCAGCGAAACCAATGCCTAAGTGGCCTGCTCTCCCAAACTTCAGATGTATTCCAGCTTGTCCACAGCCATGGAGTCGGTGGAAGGCCGGAGTCACGGAATGACAAACAGCATGGCTGTGGTGGAGG